GCCCCAAATGGCTGCCTTGAGGGACTCCAGAGGTGTTAGGGGCTCTTTGCGAGGTTGGGCTATTAATAAAAACTCGTTGGACTTGCTCAGTTAAGTAGCAGCTGTCTTGGCACCATATATGCCTTTAACTGGTAAAGGAGAACGCGGTAGTCGACGTTGTCAAATGCCTTGGCAAAATCCTAATAAATCACGTCCATCTGGATGTTTTTTTTTTCAAAGTTTTGTCCCATAGTATAAAATATAGATAATAATTCAGTGACACGTGAGCGATTTCTTAGGAATCCTTGTTGCAAAAGGGTAATTAAGTCATTAATGTGGTCATACAAACGATTAAAATGACGCATTGTTCAAGGACTTTGGTAACAATCGGGAGAAGCGATATGGGTCGGAAGTTTTTAACAGGCCCTTTTGACTCTTTCTTGCGAATAGATGCTATGTCTGCGGATTTCCACTTGGAAGGGATTTGATCCCCATAGCATTATGGGGACCAAATTCATGGGGATCATTATGCGGCCCCTGTCTGGACATTTCTTCTTGAGTTCCTTAATGAGCTCGTCCACTCCGTACAATGGAAAGCACTTAGGATAATCTTCCCCCGTCTTGACTATGGATCTGGCCTTAGTGAGGCTCGGCTGTAACCCCTCGTGGTTCCCAGAGCTGAACTGTGTTCCAGGTTCATGGCTGGGGCGAGGAGGACTGAACCTATAAGTTACATCCTTCCTCGCACCACAGAGGTGCATCATGGTTATTCTTTGCGAGCCGGCATTGTTCGAGTAGATCGGTTTAGAGGGGCCACAGACAGACTTAATAATTTTGTTACTGTTCGATATCAATAAGATGTATATTTAATGTTGTACCTATGTAATACTGACCCATACTGTAATTCAGCCTTAGCTGCGAGAGTATGAAATTAAACGATCATCATCATCATCATTATCTGTGGAACTCTGAGGCGCATGCGCGTAAGATGCTTAACGTAGCAGAAAAACTCAAAGAGAACAAAGACCACGTTTGGCGGCCATCTCAACCTATTCAGAAAGTCCCATTGTAGCTATAACATTTTAAGAAAAGAATATGTAGGATTAGATACTTAGTGGTCTTCTTACGAGCCAAAAAAAAAAAGAAAAAAAGACAACCACGGAAGCTTTTTGACCCCAACCAATCATCTATAGGTAAATGATATCATCTCTAATAAAATACCATCACCTCTACGTAAACAGTCACGAAGTGTTACCTTTCAAACTTCCTCGATAATGATACTTTCGAGCTTGTTACAACTGATTGAAGTCACCATAAGAAGCAGATAGTAACCACGACCCTGGTACTTGGTAAGTGATAATTTTAATCCATTTGACTGTCAAAAGTGTCTCTAGCCTCAATGACAAACATTCTGGTGCTGCGCTGACTCGACTGTAGCGAATCGTTGTTTGCTTGGAAGTTATCAATCGACATCCCAATCGACAGATGAAGGGAAGTCGTAATTATTCATCACAGTGTGTTTACAGTTTGTTTGTTTGTTTGTTTTTTTAATCGCAAAGAAATAAAGAGGAGCTGATTTCTCATTCAAGTGAGTACACTCAAATGTTTTAACTCTCAGCGTCCTGTATTACCCTCGTCTGATTTCCACCGCGTGCGTTGAACTTAGTAGGAGCAAAGTCGGCTCTTTACCAACTACCAACTTTTTTTTGTTTTAGCTATTACAGAACTTTGCTGCTAGAATATTGACCAGTAAAAAGAAATACGACTACATCTCACCATTCCTTAAGGAACTAAGATGGCTACCCATAAATGAAAAGTTACAGTTCAGAGACGTCACCATGGTATATAAATGTTACAGTTTGAATTCAGAGACGTCATCATGGTATATAAATGTCTACACGGCCTTGCTCCAAATTGCCTCGAAATCAAGTTGGTCAAGCGTTCCACCATCCGTTGCTATAATACCAGGCAAAAGAACAACATAAACATTACACCCAAAAGAACATCAACATCTCAGATGCCCTTTTT